TGGTAAACTGATGAGTGTGTTTATTTTTTCTTTACACCATCAGAAAATTTTAATTGAGAATGTCAACTCTTTATACATATAATATTCTAAACACTAGACTTCCACAGCTGCCCATAACTGATGCCACAAGTAGTATATTAGCTAGACCAGAACATCATCAAATCTAGAGGTCTGCAACCACACTTGCAACTTAAACTTTTCAGAAAACACTCAAGTTTTGATACTGGATCCTGCAAGCAATGAACTTAGCCAGAGTTGCAAGCAGACATAAGAGATATCTTTCCAGAAGCACTGTGTGAGGAAGTCTCACTATTTCACCATTCCCATTCTGACACTGTGAGCAGTAATTTCATCTACACCATGTGGGACTGGTGTAATGAAACATGTCACATCAGAACCCCCAGAGGCAAACTCAAGAAGTGATGGAACTTGCAGGAACCCCCTCAGCACCTCTGAGGTATCTGACCTCTGCTTGAAACTGCTTCATCCACAACACATATTCCAGAGGGAACTGTCGCAGAACACATAACAATCTGTGTGACACTTCAGTAACCCCTCTCACAGTCTGCCTCTGCAAAATCACTGCAGAACAGGCAAGAAAAAAGCCCTCTCTTTTATAAACTCTACTATAATATCATAAACATGTAATAATTACATAATACATATAACAGTAATACAATGTTTACCCAGAATTTTGTTTCCAAAATAATTCTTCTAATATTAATAAGCACTGGACCCTAGTCAGAAGCGAGGTTGGCTTCGTCCTCACAGTAATGAATAGACATGGAAAGTCAGCAGTTACAGAAATTGCACCTCTCCTCTTTGGTGATCACATGTTGCTTTACTGGATCATTCAAAATGGCTGCCCTGTCTTTCATTTTCCTCTACACCCTCACACACACATCCTCCTACTCTTCTCCCCATTACATCACTCTCAGAAGTCCTGTTCCAACAATGCTGTATCTGCTTAAAGACCAGAAATGAGAGATGACACAAATCTATTCTTAACAACCAGCAAACTTGGAGTTTGATCTAATTCCACACGTTCAAGTGTCTGAGGCTTCCATAACTGTGGCCATCCACTGGTCAGGACAAATTTTCATAATGCCTTAGGAGGACCTTCCTTCTCCAATTCTCACAACTTGATGTTCCCCACCTCTCTGATAAATGTCTGAAGGATGTTCTGGAAGGGCAGCTGATTTCCCAGAGATGTCACTTTAAACAAAAGAGTAAGTGAAGTAGGGCTTTTCCTTAGGACTGTGTAGCTTTGAATAAGAGGATACCTCTGATGCACATAATTTAAAGGATAGAATCAATGCAAAGAAAAGCATGGGGACAGCTAGGATATGGCAAAAACTCTCCAGATTTAGCTACATTCTGCCATTCTCTTTTAGGAAAGGAGTGCTCTGCAGCAGCCATCAGTATCGTGAATGTCACCACAGCCACAACCCTGCTTCATTCTTTTGGCATTGTCGTCTCTAACATCATTCTTATGAAAAATGAATAATGAGAAATGTAGTGGTAATAAGTATTAATTTACTGGTATGAGTCACTGCCACCTACAAGAAACAGAAGAGCTGTCAGAAGACAGTTGGTAGAAGTTCACTCATGATGTATAAATGTCTACGATGGACCAAAGCCTGCTTTGAGCTCTCCATGAAGTCCACTGTTCATCACTAATCATCTGACAGACATATTTGGACTCTATGGACTTCTCCAATTGCTTCCCAGAAGGTAAGAAGGAAGGATGGGAGTATGACTTTACTGTTTCTCATGCTAAGCAACTGGAAACTGCTCCTGTGAGAGTGCTTATTTATTACTGCTCTGAGCAGTGAAAGACTGACCTAATGAAGCAATACAGAATTGCTGATGTTGGCAATTCTTGTGGTATGAACAATTTGAACTGCATTTATGAGAACAAAATATTTGTGCCCCAAAGGCTACCACACAGAGGTGCCCTGCCTGGATAGTTCTATGGTGTAATTTTTACTTGGCTTACCTCTCAAAAGCGCGTATAATATTTTCAGTTGAACTATTTATGGTTACAACTAAGTTTTCTTTTAAACAAAAATTTAAAAAAAAAAAAAAATCTGTAGGCATCTCAATAGAATCTCCATTCTAATCATTGTTTTTTTTTTTTACTAGTATCTCCAAATGGTAACATATAAGAAATATCCATAATATTGATGTATTAATAAAAAATCCTATATGTGAGGCTTAAACATAAAAGTTTCCTACTCTTTTTACATCCTACAGAAATTACCAAGAAAAACTGGTGTCTTGACAAAAACCAAGTAGCTAAACTGTTTTTTTTTTTTAACAGGCTAGTATTTTTAGCATGTGAAAGAAATTTCAATGAAGATAAGTCATAGATAAAGAGTAGTATGCATCTAAAAAAATAAACAGAGATATACAATTTTTTCTATATAGGTATCTATACTTAGACTTCTATCTTCAGCATCTCAAAATGCAGATATGTAGGTTGCTCTGAAAGTAATATCTCCTATTTATTTCCACGCAAACTAGAATAGATACGAAGAACACAAAAACACTATTTGATAGAGAGCATTTTCAGCTACAGTATGCTATTTTTCATCACAGTTGTCACCATTAGCTATGCACTTTTGCCAGAGATGAACAAGAGCCTGCAAAATGTGCTCTTAAAAATCTGCACTGTTGAAGGTGACACATTGTTACTGTTGCCACTGTTGAAATGCACCACCCACTGCCTCACTGTGCTCACATCCAGTGTTCGGTCTCCAGAAACATTCAGCAAGTGTCAATGAATATCAGTGGTTGCCATTATTTCCTCATGGAGGAATTCAATGATTACACCTTTGCTCCATATGCATTTCCATGTCAGATGCCATTTTGTCAGACTTTCCCTCTGCTGCCATCTGTCACTTGGCAACAACATGGAATGAAATATTGACAGGAAGGTTCAACCACTACTGCCGTGCCACCAACATCTGCCTCTGAAGTCGTCAGACAACATAATAAAATAGGAGGCGTTACTTTCAGAGCAGCCCTCATAGTCATCTTAGTCAGGTGTCTAAATTCCATGCAGTCACTGGAGAGATAAGAGCAGTTCAGATGTAAATATCTATGATACCAATTTTTAATGACAGTTGAGATCATTTATATAGCCTAAAATTCTGAGAAGTATAATGCCTCTTCCAATATCCGTAAGTATCTGAAACTGCAGGAGCAAGACACTTAGTTGTTAATATTTCCAACATCCCTCACCAACTCCATCCAACTGTCCAACTATTCAGATATCTATCTCACAAAACTAGAAAGCTCAAAAAGAAGAAATAAAGCCTCCAAGTTTTCTTAGGGTGTTAAGACACCAGACATGAAGGACCAAACCGGTCGTCCCCCGAAACAAACAACAGTTAATTAAAATTTTGTAATGACTGCCTTATTTCTAAATTTTTATCCCTATGGTGAATGTTAAATGAATAGTGAAAATCAAGCACCTGGGGCTAGAAGCCCTGAAGTCAATGTGCTACATAGAGATCTCTGCATGTAGCTGTAACCTGTTACATTATGTGGTAAATACAGAGATGAGGAAAATCCTAAAAACTAACCATTTTAGCCAGTTGTGTATTCAGAGCAATCGGTGCTGATCTTTTTCCTAAAATTAAACACTTGTACATCTTTTGCTGAAATTGAAAACAACAGGGTCAGAGACTCTGTACCACTTGATACCTAAGGGAATGCTTGAGGGTAAATTTATTCTCCTTCAAATATATTCTAAATGCAAGATGTAGTTGCACCTGAATTTTGTGAGATATGTACATAGGTATCTCAAAAGCATATAGTAATTCAGAAGTACATAGGTACACTGACAACCAGTTGCATTGAGTACCATGTAAGATTCATATGAAGGAACACTATCATCCTGGTCTAAAGTAGGGCAGAAGCATGATCTAGTTGCTGTGTTGATCAGCTCAGGAGTTACTTCAAAACAATACAGGCTTGTAATACATAAAAGAAAAGTATTTAGATAATTTAGATGATGCCTAACTAAATTAAGAGGTTAACAAAAGAAAAATGACCATAAATGCTTGACATCATCTGAAGATGATTTTGGGTTTTGACTATGTCAAAAAATTCCGTTATATCATTAAAATTGCAAAAAGGAGAAATTCTGCCTTTTGCTACAAGGATTTTGATACATAATTTTCACCTTTTTCCAGGAACATGATTGCACTATTATTTTAAAGACCATTCTAAAATTGTATGTTACCCTTTCATGTAACACTACATATTGATTTTTTAAGCAATAGGTTAGTATTCAAGAAACTTGATTCATATTAATTTAATTCTAACCAACTTGATTATTCATGGGTAAGTTCATGGGTAAGTATATAACAGCTTATTGGATACAATTTTTTATTTTTTATTTTTTAATCAAGGTTGATTTAAATAGTAGCTTTTGTGCAAGAGTCAAGTTTTGCAGATATATCCTTAAAAATATTGGTAGCAAAGATGTTTGTGTCCAAGTAAACAATTTATATTCTCAGACCAGGCTACATCTTTTAAAATTCCAGCAGAAATCAGTAGCCAACTTGCACATACCATTACACTTCAAATTTCCTTGTAAATGACAGTGAAAGTATCCAGAAATTTAAATATATTTTCTGTTAGGCTAGTTGATGTGGGAAGATTTTCATGAGACATTTTCTCTCTTATCATCAGTTCAATGATGTAAACAGTGGCTGATTAAAACCTGCACTCCTTTCAGGTTGATATACCTGTCTGAAAAAAAATATATATCTCACAGCTGGAATTCTTCCTGAAAACTAAAATAAATGACAAAGTAAAAGACTGATGTTCTATAGATACTTAATGAAGACAGGCTTCAAGGGTTTTCTATGGCAGACATTATAGCACACCCCAGGACAAGACAAAAAGAGCATATTTCTGAAGCTGAAGATTGCAATCACAGCAGAATAAAGAAAATAACAGAACACATAACTTGTTAAATAACTTACACTGGTTTTCCTTTGGATTCACAAGTCAAAATTATAGATTGTCCTTCTTCAGGCCACGAATTAGAAGAAATGATTTTAACTAAAGGTGTATCTAGAAAGAAAAGAAAACAGACATCTTGTTGATATACATGAGAAAAAAGATTATCCATGAGTACATTATTCTCTGCTTACTAAAAACTACACTCTAGAATTAATTTAGACTTGTATATGCTTTTATTTGAACACTTACACAGTTTTCATTGTCCTCAGGAAGGCAACAAAATTGACCAATGTACGCAAAATTGACCAACTGTAAATTTTTATATTCCAAGGAAACACAGATAGAAAGCTTGTTTTTACTCCAAAGAATAACTTATTTTTTTCTTTCTACAGTCAGTGCAATTGCTCCCTAGGAGTATTCCAAAGTGTAATATCTAACAGTGAATAGCAAATACTCTGGGCAATTGTTTCTTTGTCTATTTCTAGGTAGATATGATGGAATGCTGCTATTAAGGTTATGATACAATAATATACATTTTAATAAGAACAGTTTTACTTTTGCAAAAGCTTGAAACCATAATAAGAAAGCTACAATGAGCTTCCAGATAAAATACTTTGTTATGGGCATTTTACAGGATATTATTTCTAAATTGCAATAATATTGTCCCTAAAACAGAACTTCTTTTTTTTTTTCCATTTGACTTTTTTTTTTTTCTTTTTTTTTTTTTTCAAAAAGAATGTTTCAAATACCAATGAAAAGCTCTACAGAAAAATTTTCAATCTGTCCAAAAATCTTATAAGTATTACTTCCATGTAATGGAATTAATTTATAGTTGTGACTTCAAAACAATATACAATAAAAAACTGTGAATTAAACCTGAATAAAATATTTGTAATAAATCTTTAACTTGTAAAACAGTTTGCCATCTGGTTTGCAAGGATACACCCTCACAAAGAAAATATTTTATATGAATTAAAGGGGACCTATTTTAAGGAGAAGCAAGGCCATATAGAAATAAACATTTACATACATAGTATTTTTTCCTTAAGAAAAGGAAAAAAGAGATCAAAATAATAGTAAGGAAATCTTTCATACTCAAAAGGAAAATACAGCCCTTTGTTTCCTGTGTAGTTTCCTCTATGCTACCAAAAAAAAAAACCACACACACACACACACACACAAAAAAAAAAAAAAAAAAAAAAAAAAAAAAAAAAAAAAAAAACACCAAAAAAAAGTATTTACCCTGAAAATCTAGCTTTATCCAACTTTTATTTCATTCAGTTTACAATTCCTATTGTTTTAGTAGTGGGGTAGCAGGGAGAAGACAAATAACCTGTTATCAAGAAAATATGAAAGGCAAGATAGCATGACACTACAAAATCAAACAAAATGTGATATGCTGTTACAGTATTATTTCTTATTGTGATGCTAACAGTTCTATTAAATACTAAATGGTATAAACAAAATGGCAAAAACTTTTTCTATCTTTTGTTTTCATTTTTGACATATCACAGTGTATCACTATGGTACAAGACAAGAAAAGGGGCTTAGTACACTTGTCATAATTCCACTGAAAGCACTGTCAACATCGTTTAGATTTCAGCTGCTCCAACCTTACACCAGAAACAAATCTTTTTCAAAAGTTTGGCTTTGTTATGAACCCTGGAAACCATTTTGCAGGTGACTAATCCTGCACAGGTCACACAGGCATTTGCTTCACTTTTAGTTCATGCTTATGGCACTGATCTCAAGTGCCTAAATAAATCAGGGCATCAAGTACTACTGCAATTTTAGTGGTTTTTAGGAGATTAATGTATTACCCTCTTCACTATGCACTGGACCAGAGGAACAAATTATTATCAGATAGAAATATGTGAAGACTTTAACTGAAGTACTGAGACAACTAATGCAATGAGATCAAGACACTTCCAAAAAAACCTGAACGGGAACTAAACATTTATGGAAGTAATCATGATTGCTGCAAGTGAAAAAAGAAATTAAAGGTTCAGCTAGTTAGCATTACTGGTTTATACTGAAAAGATGATCAGCATTTCACACATTAATGTAAATGACCCAGAGAGGGGATTTCAAACAATTGAACCTATATTTGCATGGATCAGTGCTGTGCTGTTTTTCCTTACTCAAAGTTTCCATTCCTGATTTATTCAGTGCTCCAGATAGTGCTCTGTTCTTCATGTGCCTGTAAAGAGAACTTACTAACAGGACAAGAAAAGTCTTATGTTTCTAATGAACTGTAAGATAATATGGGAAATAATATTCTTTTGTGCTTTCCCTGCTTATTGTACACTAATTTATTGTTCCTTTAAAACAGGAAACACAGCAATTAATCCAATACATAGTTTTTAGGAAAGCTTACACTTCACAACTTCTGTATTTTATTATCAGTCCACTAAAAAAAAAAAAAAAAGTTGATATTCTATTCTCATAGAATCATAGAATCATAGAAGGCCTGGGCTGAAAAGGATCTCAAAGATCATCTAGTTTCAATCCCTCCTATGTGCAGGGTTACCAGCCACAAGACCGGACTGCCCAGAGCCACATCCAGCCTATTTTGATTGTTTCTCTCTGAGCGTTAGTCTTCCCACTTACATTTTTATGCTTTCCTTGATTTCTCTGCAGAACTAAAGAATGCACTTACAAGGAGAAAACTTTTAAGACCAAGTCAAAAACTTCCTCAAAACTAACCTAAAAATGCTATTTCAACAAATATAAAGATTGCCTGCAAATTGGGGTATTTCCAGAACATAAAATGCTCTGTTTTAAAATATTTCCTCCTGTTAGGACCACTTGTTTTAGAATCATTTGATGCCTGAATGTACTTTATCAATACACCAGGCTTTAACTTTTTCACCCATAACTGTTAATCATAGCAATATGAATATTACCTAACCTTCAGAAAATACTTCTACCACCAGGAAACAAAGTCCAAAATAAATAAATGAAAACGTTAAGAAAGAGAAACCGTAATGTAATGCAAGATGAAGGCTTATTTTCAGATATGCTTGTCAGGTTTTTATTTGTAGGTACGTTTAGAAAAAACCCAACACATTATCTCCTTTTTCACTTAAATAATTGAAGGAGGTTCAAGCGTTATACTGTCGGTCAGATCTTCCACTGCTTCTCCACTAAGTCAGTAGAAGCATCCCAATTTTTTCATTCAAACCTTAGAAAAAACTAATAATTTGCATCTTTTCAGGATTTGGCCCAGTAAGTTATTATAAATAAAATACTTAAAATACTGTAGACTGCTATTTAAAACAGAATTCTAGGAATTATGAGTAAAACTTCTTACTAGTACCCATAAATATGGATATATTCTGAGCTCTAAGGACATTATGGAGGAGAAAAATATTCCAAAAAGACTAAAAAAAACCCCACTCTAAGAAAAAATGCATTTTGTGTGAGTGTAGATCACAAAGCAAGCCTTAAGTGTAAAAGAACTTGTTTCAATTCTCAGTGACCCATTTATTCACATGTAACTCCAACAGTGTGAAAGCTGTTTGGCCCAAATCAAGCCTTCTTGATTTTGAATAATGAGGTACTTATGAGCTGCAATTGATAGCACCAGTGTGAACTGAGACTCAAACATATCTTTAGACATATGGCAAGATATCTTCTACCTCGTATGTGCCAAGAATCTGCCCTTTTGCTAGAAATTAGAGTATAAACTGATTATCGATAAAACTAAGAGATGTAATTTTTAGATGCAGCCTTTCTTCTTTCAGACTAAAGGCAAAAGTTTCACCGAGTGATTCTATTTGTGTTTTTTTTCCAGGATCTGAGCACATCTCTCTGCACAAAACCAGAGAAGCCATTTCAAAGCTTTGAGACTTGTCTATTTTTTAATCAAGCAATATAATCTTTATTCACTCACATACAAAATTAGTGAATGCATTTGGAAAACTGATTTCAGTTATTCAGGTAATTAATGTTATCTGATATATAAAGAAATTAAATGCTTTAGCACAAAATTTTTGTTTTCCTCTTAGCAGCAATGAATGGCAAGTTAATATCTTACAGAACTGTTTTAATGATTAATGTAATTTCATTGAAAATTTTTCAAAATAAAAGTGGTCCTTATCACTCACCAGACCTTTGCAGTTAATCAGATCTCCAATGTTTAAATGTTTTATTTGGGCTTTTTTGTTCAAAATGCACTTGACGTTTTTGCATTGCTTGAAGTAAGAAAAGTTAATTCGCTAAAGCTGTTATAAAGTTGCAAGCAGGTTTAAATATTTCTATATAAATTATTTCATATAAAGTTTTTCATATATGATCACATACAAGCCACTTGAATATTCCTGTCTGATAAATTAAAGCCTCTGTGTAAGTCCTTGACAATCACAGGGTAAATGCAGAAACTGAATGCATAAAAGAAAGTAAATTTGTTTAAGATCATAAGGCAGGTCAACAAGTGAATAGGAAAATGAATCCTTACTAGCTTATTTTTGCTCCCAAGATCATTAGAAATAATTCAGCCTGGTTTTGCTATGTAACTTCAGAAGTCCTTGGTTCCTCTGTCCTTAACAAGCTGGACTATCAGAGCTTATGTGGATACTTTTTTTCATGAAACTTCCAGTTACTGGGTGAGTAACTACTATGCTGCATGATCTCTATTCATCCTTAGGCATTAATCAGCAAAAGGTGTGTGGAAATGACCAGATTTCAGAAGAAAAATCATTTTGTAAATAGGCAACATGATAATAATATGGTAACTATGCTATGACATCAAACAGTCTCTCCCTGCTGCAACGATCTTCAGTTAATGAAATTATAATCTTAGAAAAGAGCATTTCTTTTCTTGCCTAATGTTACAATGTGAGAAATACATAGATTTTGATGCTTTGAGGCCTTTAACAAATGACTATTGAAAGGTAAATTCAGGACTAGAAAATTTAGTGATCTCCTCCTGGTCATCAGAATTAAAATAATGTTAGAAATACACTGACTCAAGATACATGCATCATGGTGTTTACTAGAGAACATTGGGATATATATGTTTTATTGTAATATAAGCAATATTTGCCACTACAGTTCACTACACATTTTGTTAAGAGGCAAATCACACTGCTTAAAGCTTAGCTTTCCCT